ATTTTCTTGGCACACTTTGGGCCCCTTAGTACCAACTGAGCATGGTTTAAACACCACAGCCTACCTGAGTATTGTTGCTGACCGTGTCCATCCCTTTATGACCACAGTGTACCCATCTTCTGATGGCTACTTCCAGCAGGATAACGCACCATGTCACAAAGCTCAAATCATCTCAAACTGGTTTCTTGAACATGACAATGAGTTCACTGTACTCCAATGGCCTCCACAGTCACCAGATCTCAGTCCAATAGAGCACCTTTGGGATGTGGTGGAACAGGAGATTCGCATCATGGATGTGCAGCCAACAAATCTGCAGCAACTGTGTGATGCTATCATGTCAATATGGACCAAAATCTCTGAGGAATGTTTCCAGCACCTTGTTGAATCTATGACACCAAGAATTAAGGCAGCTCTGAAGGCAAAAGGGGTCCAACCTGGTACTAACAAGATGTACCTAATAAAGTGGCCAATGAGTATATAGTTCATAACATTATGATGCATGGCAAAAAGTTAAACTACCTCACAATATTTGATTTGTTATTATGATGCACATTTCTCACCATTTTCTTACAGTTCACAAAGCAAACAATGACGGAATTGATCATTAAAATAATAATCAGCGATTAAATCCATGAAAATTATTATTAGTTGCAGCCCTGTATGAAATTAAAAAATAAGCTCCACTTTAACCACATAAAAGACTAAAGTTCTGCATAAACATAATGCATGAGTACTAAAAATCTAATAATATACTGTAATACGGCGTATAAATATATAAAAATCCTTTCCTATACTATCCCCACCTTGGCTGCCTCTGGACTGGTCAGACACAGGATCTTCTCAAAATACTCAGCAGCATCACGTTGTTCATATACTAAAAGAACAAGAGAACAAAAATATCATAAGACGCCTCTCTGAGTCAGAAACAGGCTCAACAGTCTGTAACCAAGCAACTACAGCAGCAGTGTGATGTCTCATATTACAACTTACTGTTCGAGATCCCCAGTTTCTTTATCACGTGATTTGTTTTAGCCAGATTTTGCTGTAAATCAGCAAACAGTTTTTCGAGCACAGTGTCCATGCTTGTTGAGTCTTCACTGCAGCATCTGTGGCACGATGAGAAGAGTAAAATACGACTTTATCAGATGTGCCAGTTAGGCAAAGTCTGATTATTTAAACTGATTTAGCCTGGCTCTGTTTGAAGTTTAAAAAAATAAGCCAACTAGCGCCTCTGAAGCTCACTAATTAAATGTATCTTTCTTTATTTTGGGGCATTTTTGCATTTATTAGTAATATTATTTATTAGGGGATGACATGCAGCAAAGGGCCAGAATTGGAATCAAACCCATGCCTGCTGCAGCAACGACATGGCCTTTGTATATGGGGCGCCCGCTCCACAAGGTGAGCTAGTGGGCGCCCCTGAAGCCCACTAATTAACACTATAGATATTTTCTTTGTTTCTGTGACAGAGTGCTAGGGCCACATCAAGACAAAAAAATCTGAGCTAGATTTAAGTCATAATGTTATGAAAACAAAGTCCTAATTCAATGAGAATAATGTCATACTTCTTCAAGGAAAAAGGCATGATATTATGAAAATAAAAGTTGTAATTTTACGGGAGAAAAGTTGTAATTTTACGGGAGAAAAGTTGTAATATTAAGTGAATAAAGTTGCAGTTTTACAAGAAAAAGTCATAATGCTGTGCAAATGAAGTTAGAATTTCACAAGATAAGTCATTTAAAGTGAACAAAATTGTAATTTTACAAGCCAAAAGTCATAATATTATGCAAATTAAGTCATAATTTTGCAAGAAAAAGGTCACAATATTGCGTGAATAACATCAGATTTAAGAGAGAAAAGTCGTACTTAGTGAACAAAGTTGTAATTTTACACTAAAAAAGTCGTAATTAGTGAACAAAGTCGTAATTCTATGAGAAAAAGTTGCAATATTACACAAATATAATAAAAGAGCGAAGTCTTCATTAGTGAACAAAGACCTAATCTTACGAGAAAAGTCGCAATATTACGTAAATAAAGTCATAATTTTACATGAAAATAGTCACAATATTACTTAAATAAAGTTGTAATTTTACAAGAGAAAAGTCGCAATATTATGTGAATAAAGTTTTAATTTTACAAGGCAAAGGTTGCAATATTATGTGAATGAAGTCGTAATTTTACATGAGAAAGTTGTAATTAGTGAACAAAGTCATAATTTAATGAATATGGTTGCAAGTAGAACGACATCTATTGCACGTCTGTCCGTCCTGGAAGAGGGATCCCTCCTCAGTTGCTCTTCCTGAGGTTTCTACTGTTTTTTTCCCCCCGTTAAAGGGATTTTTTTGGGGGAGTTTTTCCTTATCCGCTGTGAGGGTCCTATAAGGACAGAGGGATGTTGTATGCTGTAAAGCCGTGTGAGGCAAATTGTGATTTGTGATATTGGGCTTTATAAATAAAATTGATTGATTGATTGAAGTCGTAACTTTTAGAGAAAAAAGTGACAATATTACATGAATAAAGTTGTAATGTTACAAGAAAATGGTTGCAGTATTACCTGAATCAAGTCTAGTTTTACAAGAAAAAGGTCGCAATAATACGTGAATAAAGTCGTAATTTTACAAGAGAAAGTTATAATTAATGGAGAAAGGCGAAATTTATGAAAAAAGTTGCAATATTACATGAATTACATCGTAATTTTAATGGGAAAAAGGTTGCATTATTACGTGAATAAAGTCGTAATTTTACATGAGAAAGTCGTAATTAGTGAAAAAATTCATAATTTTATGAAAAAAGTTGCAATATTAAATAAAGTAAGTCGTAATTGTTCGACAAAAAAGTTACAATGTTACATCAATAAAGTTGTAATTCTACAAGAAAAAGGTTGCAATATTGCATGAATAAAGTCAGAATTTTGCGAGAAAAAGGTTGCATTATTATGTAGATAAAGTCGTAATTGTTCGACCAAAAACTTAAAATATGATGCAAAAAGTCGTAATTATACGAGAAAGAGATGCTATATTACATCAATAAAGTTGTTACTTTACAAGCCAATGAATAAAGTTGCAATTTCACAAGAAAAAGGTTGCAATAATAAATTTTACGAGAAAAACTCGCAGTATTATGTGAATGAAGTCATAATTTTACACACAAAAAGTCATACTATTGCGTGAATGAAGTTGTTCTTTTATAAGACAAAAATCGCAATATTATACAAATAAAGTTGTAATTTTACTTTTTTCTTTCTTTAATAGTGAGCTGTAAAATGCTAGTGTATTTTGTTACCTTTGGACAGAGCCAGGGTAGCTTTTTCCCTCTGTTTCCAGTGTTTATGCTAAGCTAAGCTAACCAGCTGCTGGTTCGAGCTTCATATTCATATATATCAAGAAAGCGAAATAGAGCATTTTCCAAAATGTTGAACTATTGCTTTAAAATCATAAAGAGGTTAAAAAACAAGAACAAAAAAACACAACTTTTTGCATATCATGACAACTCAAATAAAGCCGAGGTTACGAACCGTTTCACAGCCTCCCGGAAGTCTTGGGTCATGAAAAGCACCTGAAGCACGCTGTTCAAATAGCATGTCAGACCTGGACTGTCCAGGCCATAATAATCTGAAGGCACAACAGTGACAACACACACATTATGATAAAACTCAGAAGTGTATAAGCCACAAGTATTATAGCACACTCATTTAACGTCACTTACCTGAGATGGTGAGGCTGTCTAGTTTCTCTCTGAACATTTGAACAATGTCATGATTCATACTGATGTCTTTCAAATGACAGTGCTGGCATTTTTTAGATTAGTGAACTTGTTTGCGGATGGATGGATTCAGCCTGTTGAAGCAGATAGATACAAAAAAAAGTAAAGAAACAGCCACATATTAACAGAATTAATCACAAAAAAACATGTAGATGTGGCCTTAATTTACACTCAAGGCTTATAAACTAGACCGGTAGAAACACAACCGTTAACAACAATAGAACAAAACTTAATGGTTAAAAAACACAGGAGGGAAGCTTTACAGGACTGTAAACTTGTGAGTTTTGAATGTATTTTGACACTGTTGTTAGCTAATAGTGATGGTGGAGAGGTTCTCTTATTGCATTTATCTATAAAGGTGGATGGCTGACATGTAGAGACTGTCAGAAATGTAATAATATTGGCAACACTGCGAAGACTTTAAATTATGTTGTCTTGCTATTGTTTTTGCCGAAGCCATTGTGTCATAAATCCCGTAAAAATAACAATTAAAAGCCTAGTCTAGCCTGGTGTGGCTACGTATTTTGACAAATAAAGGCCTGTCTCAATTAGAGGCCTGGTCTGGTTACCAAGCAGTTATTTGTACATAATTGTTTGGATGTATAAAACAGGATTGTTGATGACCTACTTGAGCTAGCATTAGTTAGCCGTTTCAAATGTGCATACAAATATTAAAGTGACACTTACCTTTCTGGAAATTTTACGCTTTTCTTTGTTAAGGTTAACATGCTATTAATAAGCTGATGGCACACTAAAATGTAAGTGAATTCCACCAGAGATAAAAACTCATAGCTGTACCATTCTCATATGGTTCTAAGAAAACTCCGACCAACCATTTCATTCGGACCGAATGCGACCTGTCCGTCATTCCCACGTGGAGGCTTCCGACTGGACTGACGTAACCGCTCGCGTTAACAACACCCTGAACCTCCTTGTTTGTTGCCAGTCACCAGTACTATCTAACATTGGCTTTTACGTTATTTTATAAAACTCAGTCATCACTGACCCCGGATAAGTTTCAAAACTCCGGGGTTGCGTTTGACCGTGCAGGACAGGTAACGTTATGTTTAGTTTGCTTCTAATATAACGTTATATGACAACACAGCATCCAGTTGCTAATGGCTAACGTTAGCGTACTGTAGCATAACCTCTGAAACATTAACATGATCTTCCTTGTGCGCTTCCACTTACTAGTAACGTTAACGCTACTATCTAACATTAGCACTGTAACCTTATTCTAAAACTCAGTCATCACTGACTCCGGTTGAGTTTTAAAACTCCGGGGTTGCGTTTGACTGTCTTGGTTGTAACGTTACACTCGCTCACCTCGTTACCTTGCCAACGCCTACGTCTATCATAGACGTAATGAGGATGTAATGGAGGAGGGGGATGGGACTTTGGAGGGAGGCGGGAGTTGTGGATGTTCAAATTTTTTCTAAGTGCTGTGTGAAATGCAAGAAAGGTCAGAGTAGCTTTAATGTTTAAACTTTTGTCAACATGGAGATGCTACACATCATTAGCTCGGTTGATTTCACTGCAACCATGAGCACCAGGGAAGACGAAATAAATAAGAGGTGACTTGTTTCTTCTGAAGCTGTCAGTAAGTCAGAATATGTGTCCATTCTTTAATTACCTGGAAAGTTATTTATACTCCTTTTGTGCGTAAGGATCAAAAGAATCAAGTGTTTTTCATAGAAAATAATTCAAGCTATGACTATTATTTTAACAGGATAAAGTCCCAAATACAGGCCTGCTGAGTTCAGTGATTTAAGCATATAATAGCCTAGGCTACTAACTGAAGTTTAACGCTATGTTATATTTTGTATATCACAGTGTCTTTTAGCAGATAAATATTTCTCTGTTTCCTGCCCAGAGACTACAGATGAAAATCTGGTCATAGCTAACTCTGGTGCAGTTTAGCAGCTGTGCACTGCTCAGGTTTCAAACTTGTGATGGAGTATTTTTGTTCAGCTGCTTTAACCTAACTCCATTACATAGGCCTATATCCACAACACGCAGATCACAAGACGAAAGCAGATCGGTTGGTCATTTTTAACGGCAGCTACTGAGTGAAACTTTTAGGCTTTTCAGTCCAAACAAACAAAAAAAAACTATGAAAAGTTATGACAAGAAGTAAGCAGTGAACGCAGCTGTTGTGTTTGAGTGTTACGGAAACACATGTGGCCTGAATCCTCCATTATCCAGCGTTGAAAAACATTTAGACAATAATAAACCCACTATGAAATGCTAGCCACACCTACACTACAACTCCGAAAGTCCAATAACACACCTGAAGACTTTTAATTTGGGTATGTGGTGAAATGGGAGGGTAAAACACGAGAACACTCACCGTGCGTCTGTGTACCCGCCGGGCTGCTGCAGTCTTCTTTCACTTTCGATACCAGCAGTGAGAGGTTGAAGGAGGAAGACACAGAGAGCGACCACACACACAAACTACAAAACTCCCAGCTGAAATACACACTCTGGAGACTTTATACAAATAACCGAGTGTAAAATTTTAGCACAATAATCCTCCAGAGTTGATTAGTTTCAGGTGTGGCTGTTGTACTTCCGGTTGCTCTCAAGAATAAAAGGTGAGTCCAGAGAAAACTGCCTTTGTCTTTCAGGTGAGACAGGACTTCCTCTTCCTCTTTTCTCCTCTTTATTCAATAAGTCTGATTTCAGCACTTGACTTAAAATAAACAAAATACTCACACTTACTGAAAGTGAACTACGTCCAGTTATTTAGTCATTTAAACTTGGATAAGAGTCACACTTTCAGTTTGGTTATAATTTCTTGTCATGATTTGAGCTTGTCAGTAATATCCACTTGAACAGAAGCACCTTAAATTGTCTGTTATGGTGTTTTTCTTGCTGTGTATTTACTGTAAAGGTTTCTATTCAATCATGAGCCAGCTGGAAATTCCCTGAGAGCCCGTTCAATGAGTCACATGTAATTATATCAGCTCAGTCACGCCAGTAAAATATGCTGACAGTATGACTCCAGATGTTTTCAAACTATCAATAACTCAGTCATGTTTAAACACACAGACATAACAAACAGGGACTACTAATAGCTAATTCAGCATACTTTAAATGGTGCCAGCTAACTCAAGGACAACTCATTGCAGCGACATAGCCTACTTCCTGTTTACATATCTCAAAGTCCAAGCATTATGGGAACTGTAGTTCTAATACGTAACATGATCGTAGCAAAATTCCATTAATATAAATTAATATAAACTTCTCATGTTATACAATAATAGCTACTGATAATATTCTATTATTATTCAATAATTTAATTATTTAGTATTTTTATTACAATTGTATTATTAGTAATTGTTATTTCAGTTTTATTTATTAGTAATATATTTATTATCAATCAATTAATTAAATTATATTAGTAAT